GGGTATGTACCTTCACATACAAGCGTAAAAGAGTTGAAGACGAAGGTGGAGAGAAATACAAACAGTCAAAACTGAAAAGTGTGAAAAAGTAGAAAGTATAAACAAATCTCTTGGACATTTTAATTTGAATATCTGTGAATAGCTAAATACGGATAACTCAGATGTTACTGCTCTTAATCTCTTCTTTTTTAGCTCGAGCGTTATGACCGTGAAGTAGAAGCTTTGTCCGAAATTTCAACGAAACGTGACAAGCATCGTCAGTTCTGTGAACAGTTGAAGAAGCAACGGATGAACGAATTCATGGAAGGCTTCACCCGTATTGGCGTAGCTTTAAAAGAAATGTACCAAATGATAACACTCGGCGGTGATGCTAGCCTCGATCTTGTCGATTCGCTTGATCCTTTCAGTGAAGGCGTCTCATTTGGGTAGGATTTTTGGCATTTTTTTTTGAAAAAAAACAAAATTAGATGTTTAGATTTTTTTAGTTTTTTATGTGGGTTCACAAGCATTTTAATCATACTTTGATTCTTTGATCAATTGTTTATCTATTGCTGGCTGGCTTTCCTTTTCGCCTTTCTTGCAGCTGATATCTTCTCCGTTCTTATTTTGGGCTTTATTAAAATAATTTGGGCGGTTTCCGGCATTGCGCTGTTCTTCCCTGTCTTTATCGGATTAGTCTGACTGTTGGATTATAAAATTTTGTCTTTTTGTGTTTTGGAGGGACTGTTTTTAATTCTTTTTGCGTCTTCGCTGCTTATTAGTTCCTTTTCAGAGTGAGGCCACCAAAGAAATCATGGAAGCAAATCACGAATTTGTCAGGAGGCGAAAAAACGCTCTCATCGTTGGCTCTGGTTTTTGCGCTCCATCACTATCGGCCAACTCCGCTGTATGTAATGGACGAAATTGATGCTGCCCTTGACTTCAGGAATGTCTCAATTATTGGTCATTACATCAAGGTTTAGTATTTCATATCTTAATTTTCTGCTGAATATCTCCTACATTTATATATGTATACCATTTCGATGGCTCTTCATCGCACCAAAAACCGGTCTTCCCCGCCTTGTCCTTCTACTAACACTATACGTAAAAATTATGCTAGGACTTGACCGCGTGCGGGAGGCTTCCAGAAATTTAACATTGATTGACTTAAGAGACATTTTATGAAGTGAAAATAGTGTGGTAAACGAATGAAGAAATTAAAAAGTTTCTTCTTTCAGTCGATTACCAAGAATTACAGATCGAATCGATTCATTTGATACATGCCTAGTACGCCTAGTATTTCTTTTTAGCTCGATTTGATACGGGAGAGCGATTTGAATGCTGAGAGGGAGTTACTTAGGCGGCACTGATAGCAAATAATTGGTTGTGGCGAAATAGCAGAGCGAGATTATTAATAAAATGACACACCAAGCATAATTAGTTTTGCTGATTATCAGATAATTGGTTATGGTGAAATAGCAGAGTGAGATTATTAATAAAATGGCACACCAAGCATAACTAATTTTGCTGATCAGACGCAAATATGGGCCAAAAAACGTCATTATTTGATTGCTAAAGCAGCAGCAAACTGCACCGTGGATTAAGTCATCGGGAAGGGAGCAGCCTTGACTGTCGTCGTTGAATACAGTTAAAAATAAAAAGGCCGTAGAACGGCTGTAGAGAAGTGTTGCTATTGATCTGTCGTTATTAAAGCACTGACTCCTGCTGAGCTGTCGATATTGACAAGTAGCCCCCGTCGATAAAATGATTCACCAGCTTCCTTCTATATTAATCTAAGCCGTCGATTGTGCCACTCTTCGGTCACCGTTGCTATTCATTAAAACCTTCAAAGGCGCGACCCACCGATTCTGTCGATCCCAAAGAGCTCATCGTTTCCCAAAGAATCGTCGATTTCGAAGAGCTCTCGATATTGGATGAGAAATGTCACCAGGAGGGTGCCGACTGTCGTCGATCGAGATGAGTCCATTTCAGCCAGCTGTTGACTGATAGAGTGGAGAAGATTGAAGCAGGCAGCCACCATGCTGCTATAGCCAATGGGAGCCGCATATTGGGGCAGCACATCCTTGTTATTGTGTGTTGTTTACGAAGGTGGTAAACAGCACCTTCTCTTTGTTTTTGAAGATTTCTCAT